AGGAGGCGGGGCACCAGTGGCGCACAGACTGCAGGAGGCGGGGCACCAGTGGCGCACAGACTGCAGGAGGCGGGGCACCAGTGGCGCACATACTGCAGGAGGCGGGGCACCAGTGGCGCACATACTGCAGGAGGCGGGGCACCAGTGGCACACAGACTGCAGGAGGCGGGGCACCAGTGGCGCACAGACTGCAGGAGGCGGGGCAGCAGTGGCACACAGACTGCAGGAGGCGGGCACTACACAGTGTTGAAGGATGGGTCACATGATTGTACAGATCTCGTGTCCCAATGACACGGAATTGACATGTTACATTGTACGAAGTCCCCGTGTTCCGCACACGGATCTCAGCGTATCTATTATCGGACGTATTTATCCTGCACGGAGCCGGCCGGCGATACATGGAGCTCTGACCGAGATTCCTCTGATAATTCTGATCTTGGTATGCGGCCGAAGGAAGGGTGTTACCGACCCAGAATCCCCAGGGGCCTGAAACATGTTCTGCATCATGCTGCATTACTGTGTGTGATACTAAGTGTCTGAATTACAGGCCGTTCTCTATCAGCATTTCCCTATCACTGAGCTCTATGGGAACCACGCGGAATGTCGCCGTCCCATATACTGGGGGGGGAGGGGGGGGGGTCACCACCCCCCCCCATAATCCGCTCACCAACACTGAGCGTTTGCTGGCAGAGGGACGCCTAATCCTGAGCGCGGTTCACACAATTCTAATGAGGAGAATGCGGCGGAGTCTATAATCCCGTCTATCGGGGGAATTACTGCAAAACGCGGCCACTCCGCCATCAACACGTTACTGGGATCAGCTTAAAGGGGAACTACAGAGAATTTACCCGACAGTAAACCAAAATTGATGTTTGTGAAATTTATACAGAGATCCCTCTAGGGACCTCCTGAATGTCAGGCAGTGCAGTCAGCCTCCCCGCTGAACAACTGCCGAGATAAAACCAATAGCTAAAATATGGGTTTTCAGGCTGCACTGACGGTTTGTTCACATTGCCACCATTTATTCGCCTTCACGCGCTGACATTCCGGAGTCTTCTCTGAGCTTTTCATGGCTATTAAAAGATCCTTTGGACCTGTCGATGATTGTTGTAGCATTGATTGGGGACCGTCGAGGCCGCTTGTAATGAGCGATAGGAAGTGAAAGTTCTGATACAGACCCAGAAAATTCCACTGAGATTTCTATAAATGACACGACTTGCCTCCTGCCCGATCTCTGCCCATAGTGTGAGGCGGCATCCAATCACTGAGCTGCGTAACAAGCGGGGCCGGATTTCCCACAAGGCCAACCAAGGCCCGGCTTTGGGGCCGCAGGGAGAAGAGGGGCCAGCAGGGAGAAGAGGGGCCAGCAGGGAGAAGAGGGGCCAGCAGGGAGAAGAGGGGCCAGCAGGGAG